TTTGAGAATATTTGCTCGTTTGATATAAAATTGAATAATATGATAAGAGCACTGATTTGGATGGATAAACTGTGCAAGAAGTGGATATTGATGAGGTGCAATAAACATTGATATCATTATTATAAAATGTCTTTTAGATCATCATCGAGATCATCGTAATCTGAAAGTCATTTTATAATGATGATATCAATGTCGGTATTGAATGAAACACCTATTGATATGTTTGGGATGTGAGCACATCAGATGAGGTCAGCTGTTTTGATATCATTGTTATGGAGTGTCTTTTAGATCACCGTCGAGTTCATCGTCTACTGCTTCGAGATCGTCATCGGGGGGTCGTAAGAGGAGTGAAAGTCGTTAATAACATCCTCATTTATTATTAGTCACCTATCAATGTTGCCAAGATTATATTCTATTTTGTTGTTCTGTTAATTATATTCTATTGTTTAACATAATCGTCACCAATGCTTTCATCGTATCAATAAAAATGGGCGCGTTACGAAAGTTAACTTAATTAGATCCATTCATCCAACAAGTTTCATTATTGCATTGACAATTGCTTCATAAGATAACGAGCTATCGGGTAAAAACGTTTTTGGCGTATAATTCTTTCGATTTGTTTCTCGGTGAGCGTTTCAAGATCTCGAAATGTGTCTCTCACAACCTCTTTCCTGTTTTTTTCTATTACCGTCATAGCTTTTATTTCATTCATTACGATATATTAGTTTGTTAACATTGATTCTATTAAATAGTTGTTAGTAATTAGAAACGATGCATACAGTTGTATTATTTCAAAGATGAGATCGTCAATTCAAGTCAAAAATATAGGTAATCATCGACGTACTGTAACAACTAGGTCCAAAAGTTCTATCGTAGGTTAGCTTTGGTTGTAAGTCTGGGGGAGGTCAGAACATTTGCACTTCCGTGTCGACTGTGAGTAAGCATGCCTCACCAGGAATTGCCCATAGATAATATCGTTTTAAAGTGTAATCTCGTCTTACGAACACAGTTCATTCAAACAATTGAAGCGCTCTTTTCCACTGTAATCAGTAGAGAATGAATTAACTGAATGCAGCTAACTCAATTTCTGTTTTTGCAAATTTTCGCCATGAACTTATCGTTAGCTTCCCGTCTTTAAGCGTGTGACATTTTCAACTGCATTTGAGAAGAAAAAGCAACTTAATTCTAGTGAGCCTTTAAGCNTCCTTATCAATTCTTGAATAAATTCAGAGCTTTGTTCTGAATTTGTAGGAATTTTGGAAGAAAACAACTATTTGTGATAAATTCACATCTTAAATTAGTTTAAACGTCTACATAATTGCTATTATCTCATAGTCAGACCTGTTTTGCCGGTGCAGATTTTTGTTTTGGCTGTTTTAAATTTGAAAAAAAAATGTTTTGAGATTCATTGTTGTAATTACGGCTAGTTGGCTCGCGAGTCAGCGATTACTTCTACTTTAAATATTATTGTTGTATTTTATTTATTTGTTTATTGATTTTACCGTTGTTCTTCTATTTCATCCAATAAATTTCTATCTTGTTCAACTTTTTCGAACAGTTCCCTAAATCATCTTCTATGTTCAGTTAACAATAAGTCACACATTGCAGTCATATACAGATTGTTTTATGATCATTTTGCAATGACTTTACAAGATAACGTCGAATATTCGTACGAATCTGTTGAATACGATTCGTACAAGTTTCTCAACGCAGAGAATGATTCCTGTCATAAATTGATTGTTGAATTAATGGCAGACAGGTTTTACTGAAGAAGCATTTATTCATAAATGTTGACAATGGGTTCGCTGTTTTCGAGCAGTACAGCCCTGAACATGCCTGGCGTGTTAAAGGGCATAGCAATATTACCGTCCTTATCGAGTCCTATGAAGCCGGCCATCGTTTGCTTTAAATCAACAAGTACAACCTGATTACATGCTTGTGATAAAGTCATTTTGGAATATTTCACCAAATCAGCTATTTGCCTGAAAATAGTCTAAGGTTTCGTGCCGTACAGATGATTATGATCTGTGGAAGCGAGCTATTTGATTAAGTGATGCTGTTTCCTATAACAACACCAGTTTGAATGACATAGATTCATCAATTCAATCTCATAACACTATTCACATTGAGTCGCAATGAAATTCTGCATAGTTAAATGTCCAATATCACGTTCCTATGAATCATCTATTTAAAATGAGTCTTTGACCAGTCTATTTATACTCACAAAAAACGATTCCGTGACAAAATATGGAACCAAATTGAAAACAACTATCCCAAATTTTCAATGAACAATTTCAACACTACTTCTAATCGATACCTATAAACTTCTATAGATTCGTTCATCTCAAGCAGTACCAAGATTGAATTTCATAGCACGAATTTGAACATCTGACTTAATGCTAGTTGTTCGTATCTTCAACGCTCAACATATGCGCACTTCAGTGCATCCTAGACCGACTTCGAAAATTATTTAATTATAATTGAACGCAGACGGTAAGCTGTCCAACCTAAACATACACCACATATAATGAAGAAATAAAAATTTCTTATTGTGAGCATAACAAACAGTCAATCCATCAACTCACTTCGCAGCCGAAATTCGAATGAACTCGTCCCCATTCCCAGTTCCACTCACTGCGATCTCTCGATCCGCATAAAAACCAGCGCCTTGAACGTTTCAACAATGAATCAACAATTTTATGCACACATATTCTTTGTGAAACAAATAATTGTTGACGACATAGATTCTATTTTACCAAATTTACCTCTTTACTCACATTCACGAATCGTGCAAATAAATGAACAAATCGCGAAGATTATTGTTAAGTTTACTGACGCACTTTAAAGAATATATCATCAGTTTAATGGTCACATTGTGAAGTCTATTAGGGCAATGATAATGATAACATAATAATAATGATAACATAATTGCAGTGAAGAAGTAAAATGTTCGTTGCCGCAGATATTTCAGCCTCATTTCATACCAGCTATTAAACAGAAATAAACATACCAACAATACT